TTTTTTGGTGGATCTGTGTGCCCTGTAGCTGGTCTAGGGTTTCTCATCAAAATCAGGAAAAACTGGAGAAAGGGGATGAGTCATGTTTCTGTTGGACTCTTCAATTTTGACCTAGGAAGTGGCACCCTCATTTTTTAGGGTTCCTTGGAGTTTTTTGTAAGGGGTGATTCAAGTCTGCCTGATTTGAAGGCTTCTAGAGAGAGCGGTTGCCTCTTCTCTCTCTTCTCCCGTCCCGCAGAAAAGGAATCTTTTGTGAGAAGAAAGTCTAGGACACTAGAAAGGTGTTGTTGGTTCCAAAAGGTGTTTTGTTTGATCTTGCTGCAAATTTCAGTTATTTTCTTTACATTTTTTGAGAAGCATGGAGAGCCACGGAGTTGAAAATAAGCCCGGGAGTGAAATGGGACCATGAGAGGTGTTGGAGACCCTTTCGGGGCTGGGACCATTACTACAGTTAGGTTGGATGGTGCAAATTACTTAGAATGGTCACAATCTGCAAAGATGGCCATTGGTGCTCGTGGAAAATTAGGGAATATCACTGGTGAAGAGGTGAAACCCGAAACTAGCAACTCCCAGTGGGTACAGGAGAATTATATGGTGATGACTTGGTTGTGTAATTTCATATTGCCACATATAAGTAAAAATTTTTTATGGGCAAATACAGCTAAGGAAATATGGGATGGGGTTGCAAAAACCTATTCAGAGGGAGAATGTTGCTAGGGCTTATCAATTGAGAAATCAGATTATTGCTACAAGGCAGGGAGATAGATTTGTTGCAGCCTATTTTTCAGTCCTTAAAACCCTATGGCAGGAGATTGACCATTTAGAGACATTTGCTTGGGAAACCACTAAGGATGCAGCTACCTATCAGAAACATCTAGAGAAGTATAGGGTGTTTGAATTCATTGTTGGCCTTAGTCCTGAGTATGATATTGCACGACAGCACCTTCTTTCCAGGGACAGTGTTACTCTCTCCCAAGCATATGCCTTTGTGTCGGGAGAGGAGTGCAGGAGAGATGTGATGATGAAAAACCTTATTTCTGATCAGTCTGCCATGGTAAGTGTTGTGAAACCTAAACAAAATGGCAGTGACATCAAGAAGGAAGATAAAAGAGATCTGATCTGTGACTACTGTAAGAAGCCTAAACATACAAGAGATACTTGCTGGAAGCTTCACCCACATCTTGTGCCGACTAGATTGAAAAATAAGAAGGGAAATGTGCACATGGCAGTTACTGGTGACATTCCAGCCCCTCCTACTACAACTGCTCTGGAGTCTGTTGCAGCTACTGCAATAAGGGCCGAACTTGAAAGGTATGGACTATTTCTGAACCAGCGGGATACAGCCAGTTGCAGTTCAGCCGCAAGCGGACAGCAAGGTACAGGTGGCACTGGTGGAGTCCACTATACTTCCTTTGCTCACACAGGTAGTTCACACGTCACTGCAAATTATGTTTCCACTTCAGGTAAGGAGGGACCTCGTTGGATTATAGATTTTGGAGCCTCAGAGCACATGACCCAAAGCTCTACTATTTTTTCAACTTACCAGCTCTGTTTTGGCAGAGATAGGGTCTCCACAACTGATGGATCCCATGTTCCTATTGCTGGGAAGGGATCTGTCAAGATTAGTGATTCTATTTCTCTACCCTCTGTCCTTCATGTTCCCAGATTGAGCACTAA